GGGATGGTGTACAGGAGCGGCGAGTCCTTCCAGAGCAGCTGCAAGTACCAGTGCACCTGCCTGGACGGGGCGGTGGGCTGCGTGCCCCTCTGCAGCATGGACGTGCTCCTGCCCAGCCCCGACTGCCCTTACCCGCGCCGGGTGAAGCTGCCTGGAAAGTGCTGCGAGGAGTGGGTCTGCGACGAGGCCAAAGAACAGACCGCCGTGGGGCCTGCCCTCGCCGGTGAGTGGGGTCCTTCCACCAGCTTGGGGGGGAAGGGAAACTCTGCATCTGGTCGAAGGCAGTGGGACATGTTGACGCAGGGCAGCTGGAGTGCTCAAGTGAGTGGCGTCACCCCACAGATAAGCTTGGCTGCCTGAACCCCTCAGGAAAGGGAAAAGAGCCTTTAGCAGGGCTTGAGGTCAGGTGCTGGTCTCATCTTGGCTGTCTCTGTCTCCTGCAGCTTACAGACTGGAAGACACTTACGGTCCAGACCCGACAATGATGCGTGACAACTGCCTGGTGCAGACTACCGAGTGGAGTGCTTGCTCCAAGACGTGTGGCATGGGCATCTCAACCAGGGTCACCAATGATAATGCCCTCTGCAGACTGGAGAAACAGAGCAGACTCTGCATGGTCAGACCTTGCGAAGCAGACCTGGAGGAGAACATCAAGGTAAATGGTCTCATCTTTATGTACGATCTACTAAGATGCTTACATCCACTAGTAAAAACACAGTATCTTACCAAGAAAAAGTGCAGTTCTGACAGGTAGTCAGTTTCAAGCAGTTTACCTTGAAATTTGAGTTTTGCCCCAGTGGTCGGGGAATAGTTTACAATTAAATGTACTTAATTTCTTCTCATGCTGTAAGACACTCTTGCCTAATGAAAATATAATAAGGATTAGCATGTGTCTTTGCCTTTAGCTTGCAAACTTAGTGCTGTGTGAAAGCTTACCTTCTAAACATTTTTGTATTGACTTATGTCCTAACAGAAAGGCAAAAAGTGCATTCGCACCCCCAAAATCTCCAAGCCCGTCAAGTTTGAGCTATCTGGCTGCACCAGCGTGAAGACCTACAGAGCTAAGTTCTGTGGTGTCTGCACTGATGGGCGCTGCTGCACACCCCACAGAACAGCCACCCTCCCTGTGGAGTTCAAGTGCCCTGATGGGGAGATCATGAAAAGGAAAATGATGTTCATCAAGACCTGCGCATGCCACTACAACTGCCCTGGAGACAATGACATCTTTGAGTCTCTGTACTACAGAAAGATGTACGGAGACATGGCATAAGCCAGAAGGTGACGCTGACTAGATTCTCAACTTGAACTGATTTGCATCTCATTTTGTAAACATGATTCAATAGCACAAGGTATTTAAATCAGTCTTTTTTTTTTAATTGCAACAAACTGCTCCATGTGACTTAAGACAATTTTTCTACTGACCCCAAATGGTGGTTTGAAGAAGGTGGAATGGACAGTGGGACCACAGCAAGACACGGCTTCAGAACACGTTCATGAGGTGATGTGAAGTGGTTAAGGGAAATAGGCAGGAAAAGCAGATTCAAGCAAATGTTCCCTTAATGTGGTACAGTGTGCTCACCTAGTAGTGCAATTGAGGAGGAGACCGCTGGCACGTTTGCTGGTGCTGGCTTAGTGACGGCAACAGCTGGAATGGAAACCCTCACCCAGCAACGTGCTAAGTGGAAGGTGTTCTGTTAGTCAAGACAGTAGTGTTTCGGCTCTGACGCGCTGATTCATATGGCTTGGTCAACAAGAATCAGAATCATGTCTATTAGACTGGACAGCTTGTGGCAGTTAATTTACCTGTAACAAGCTACTTTTTATTAATATTGTAAATACTGTGCGTGTATATATGTTTGTACAGCTATCTAAATTAATTTAAAGTTTTGTGCCTTTGTTTAATGCTTTGAAATGTCAATGATAGCCTTTTTTTGAACAAGATAGGTAGGATTTAAAGCTTGTTTGACAATGCATTCAAAGCAAGAAATAGATACTCTGGTGGAAATTGTTCAGATGGGGACAAATGGTGGGTTGAGATCAAGATGGAGATTGTCAAAGTTGAGGTGCCTGTATCCTTACAAAGCAATTACCTGGCAAAATACATTTACTTCCACTTTTTCAGACAATTGAAGAAACTGGCTCTTCTGTAGCTCATCAGTCTTTCCACTTGAGCATTTGTTTTTTTCTTTGACTATGGCTCTTTTTGGACAGTTTATTTGTTGAGAAGTGTGACCAAAAGTTACATGTTTGCACCTTTTTAGTTGAAAATAAAGTATTTATATTTTTTATATAAATGGCTTGGTACTTCATTTACCTTTAGTCTCCACTATTGCTTTACATGTTCCTAAAAGGGCTTGGCTTTGCATGAGATAAAAATTAAGTAATGCACAGTGAGATTATTATTTTTTTTTTTTTGTCTGGAAGCACATGCACTTAGCAATAAGCTAATGGTTTATGGTTACTTATTCTACTAAAGGCAACCAGCTGTAATTTGTTACACTTCTGAATTTAGAATGGGAGGCAGGGTCAGGCTTGCTTTGCCAAGCCTGGTATTGCATTAGAAAGTGCAGCAGGTTCCTCATGCATCACATGTGGTGGCTTAAAAGTGAGCCAGCTGGTCACCATAGTATGCAACTCCTGCTATAGTACACCATGCAAAGTGCTTAACTTCATTGAAGTATTCCTCTCGTTAAGACTTGTTTTTAACTAAGGCAAGGAGAGTGTTTTTTTAAAGTATCCACACTGAAGTAGCTCTTGACTCTATGGTCAAATCCAAAAGTCCAAAATTTGTTAGAATTCTCTGTGAAAAGCTGATTAATTATAAAAATCACAGAATAATACAGGTTGGAAGGGGCTTCTTAGGGTCTTCTGAGTTAACCTTAGATGTGGTTTTACTTAGATTAAGACTATAGTATGGTATAGTAGACAAAGCACTGAACTCATGTAGCAAATACCTCGGTTATCTTCCTACTTCGTGACTGGGGGCAAAAAATCCTGCGTCTGTTCTGTGTGTAAAGTGTCCATTGATTCAAATTCTTGCAGACCCAGAGATGAGAAGCATTGTAAGAGCTACACATTTTGATAACCGTCCAAACATTCTTCTTAGATAAGCAAAAAACAGCGTAAGGACAGCTGTGAGTCACTTGCGTCATCCCCTAAAGCTAAAAGGAAAGCTTCAGTCCTGCATTAATAACAGGCTTTTTTTGTCCCTTTATTACGATGAGGGGATTCTTTGAATTTAAAATTAACCTTTGCACCAGAAGCATTAGTTCTTGTTTTCGGAAAAAACACGTACTCTCCAACAAGAATCCTTTTCAGGCAAACAAGTTCAATCTGGAATTTCCTGGTGGTGAA